AACAATTTCGAATGTAGTCACGAAACATCACCGATATATTCCCTTTTAATATTATTGATAATGGAAAATTGAAAGAACAATATGGAGTAAAAACAATCATTTGTTTCATTCCACTATAATTATTACCGGAAACTTCTTCGCTTAGCCACATTCCTCATAGATTAAGGGAAAGAAATAGCGTTTCATGCTTATGGATTTCTGAAGATATTTTTCCACCACTCAAACTGTGAAGATGACAACAGAAAACATTCGAACGACTAAAATAAAAAGTGGAGAATTTCCTATTAGTCAGTTGAATTGATTGCATTGTCTTGAGAGAAAAAAGCGATAAATTCAGGTTGGGAGTAATGTTATTTCAGTCTACCTGAATGAAAGATCCGAAAAGATATTCTTTCGTTGAATGGAAGCGGATGAAGAATGTTGTTCGCACAAGTTATCCAGTACACCATTCAAAACTTCGAATACTGCTTGTTCGATTAAACTCATAGCTCCTGAAATGTTCAAAAATTTTACAAATCAGTTGAATTAAAAACAAATACGGTTTTGATATACGAGCGATCAAGAGTTACGAACGACTTTCAATCTAAGTCGTTTTTTCTGCAGGTTACGTGAAAACAGATTGGTGCCGGAGGATCTCATATCACTCCGAAGCTCCAGCCCAAATCCGAGATAAATTCGGCCCCACCTTAGCTATCTATNGTAATCGTATGAGTCAATATCTTACGAAATGCTTATGATTCAAGTATCATAAAACATCTATCACCTAGTTTTACATGATTTATTTTCAAGCGATTCACTGTTATTCATATGCCCTGCCATTTTGCACGATGCAGAATTCGTCGTGTGCAGAATCAACTGAAACGATGGAAGTGACTGTGAAAGTGCCAATAAATATTGCCCTTATCAAATATTGGGGTAAACGAGATCAGGTATATTTCCACGTAAATTTCAATCGTATCTTGTTGATGTTAATAACAAGTCTCTTCACTAAGGAGTTCCATAGCTCAAAATTCGGGTTGCAATTCACTGACCGTTATGTACGAGAATTAGACGAATTCAAAAAGTTTATTTGAATATATTGAAGGAATTGAAATTACCGTTGAACGATTCAATATCAGTGAATATTAATGATTTGTGCGCAAAAACAACCCTTCGAATCGCTTCATCAATTGATGAGGACAGCATCACTATTAATGGCCAAAGGGTTGATCTCAGTAAAGATGAACGATTCTCGAAATGTTTCGCCGTTCGTTTCGTTTATTATCTTCTATTGGCTCCCTTTATCTGCCTTATTTACGCCTGAATTTGGTGCTTTTCAAGCATGAAAAACCAAATTTTTATTGCCATCATATTAAATGGATTGCTGAAATGTTCAGTTCTTACTTAGGAAAAGTTTTCGATGCTGCTGTATTTGAAAATGATGATAGTAGAGTTCGTCTGAATCGGGCAGTTTCCAATGTGTTGAAATATTGATTTAGGAAGTGAGACGGATCATCCGCAAACGATCGATAAAAGGTGATGGCGATACGCAGTCTGATAAGCGATGTTTCCACAAGTTTGAAGTTTGTTCAGCTTTTTTTTAATTCATTCGTTTGCTTTATTCCAAAGTGAAACTGGTTGCGATAGCAATAACAAATGTCATATATCTGAGAAAAAACAGTTGCAATAGTGGTGTTGATCATTAGCTTACTGAACCGTTTGAATCATAAAATAAATGGAAAAGTTGACTTGGTAAAAATTATTTCCATATAAATGTTTTCATTCGAAAACATCCGTTTTGGAGATTATCATTTGACGTTCAGATTTTTGCACATCTCAAATCCGGTCGATCGTTCAGTATCAGAGGAATCCAAAAGTGGGACATTTTTATTACCATTGATTCGCAGTGCTCGTTATGGATTCATTGGATTTATTCATTTTATTTCGATTGTTTCAGATTTCGTCCGAAACAAATTTCCCAATAGAGGCTGGTTTGGCATCATCGGCGGCTGGTTTTGCTGCGATTGCATTCGCTTTTGGCCATCTCTACAAACTTAGCAACGATTTGGTATTACAAATCGCCAGATTAGGTTCATCTTTCGATAAGATTTCGTTTTAGAAAGTGCATAAGATTTTGAAATTAGTTGATTCTGCAAGATTCCTCTTTAATAATCACATGAAAATCCAATTGCAAAACAATCTGCTTAATCATAGAGCATGCTCAAGAGAGTATTGGTGTTATGATTTATCACACTTCGGTCCAGTTATACGTATCTAACAGAGGTCATCTTGTAATCGGTTTATTGTATCGAACAAATGAATATATTGTACTTGAGAATTCCAAAGAGCGTTTGAAATACTTCACAGTTTTAATGCAAAAAATTGGTAGTAGTTTTGCAATGGAAGCATCGTTACCTATCAGAACGAATGGCAATTTTAATAGAACTGTGTTGTTGCTAACAATGGCTAATTATAGGCTCAGGTAGTGCGTGTCGTAGTCTTTATGAAGGTTTCGTTCATTGGAAGGTGGGACGAAGCTCGGATGGATCTGATTGTACGTGCGAGGTAGCAATAATTTCATTTTGCTTTTAAATCTAGTTCGAAAAATTACAGCAATATTCATGCTTTTTACAGTCAAACTGAACAAATAAGTCGTTTCCGAAATCCCTAAAGTCTCTTATATTCACAAGATTCGTCTACTTTCTCAAGATGGTCATAATGTTGTATAATGGCATATCTATAATAATCAGTCACCTCGCTCCTTCTTCCCTCCGAACTAATTAAATATGAAAAGTGATGAATCAATATGAAAACGTGAACTTATGAACAGACAATAGCACCCGCAGATAAATGGAATTCATTGCGTGCGCTTATTTTGGTCACATCCAGTAAATCGAAACACATTGGCAGTACGAAGGGAATGCAGAGAAGCGTTGAAACTTCTGAATTATTAAAATATCGCGTCGAAGAAATTGTACCGAAACGGGTCACAAGGTAGTGATTCGATCGCAATAATTTTCCACGTCCTTTTGATATGCGTAGGTAATCCGCTAATTTGTTCCTTGTTGGGACAGTATCTGTATCATTTGGTTTTATAACTCATCATGTTACGGTTATTTCATCTATTATGTCCATCATACATTGCATTTTTAATCAATTTCATAAAGTAATTGAAGCAGATAGTCATATTTCGCATTGAATGTCCATGTTAAAGTTAATGCAGTTGATCGTGTGACGTTCATTTGAACAATTTGAGATTGATCAAAGCGATCCAGTCGAATGATTTCGATGAATTAGCCACCGTAACAATGGGCGATAGTAATCAACTGCATGCAATTTGTTTGGATACTGCACCACCATTAAAGGTTCGATCAGCTTTGCTTTAACGCTTTCAATCGAATCAGCACATCAAGATGTTCTTTGAGAACAAGTTTGACATTATGCTGTAATCGCCTTGTACATGGCTGTTTTCAATCTTCATGGTCAAATTGAATAATGAGAATGTTTGGTTCAATGAACTGAATGGTAATTTGTATTTGGAAATCATTGTCAGAAATGAT